TTAGATCGTTTTGAGTAGTAGAGCTTTTTAGTGCATAAAGACTCTTTTGATAGATTTTAAATGAGTATTTTGGACTATTCGTAACTATAATTATAAAATTAGTTGGGTAGTTTTAATAATTTATTTAATTGATGGTTAAAGAAAATAACATTAGAATTAGTAGTGGGTGATTAGTCAGGTATATTAATTAGGGTATTAAACAATACGTAGAGAAGAAGGAAAAGTAAATGAGAGAACTGAAAGTGGCGTAGACGAAAGAGAAAGGGCCGACGGCGGCTTTAGGTGAGCAAAATTATTGAACTTTGAATATTGAGATTGTTAGTGATATAAATTTATATAATAATAATATTATGGTTAGATTTATGATGAGAAGTCTGCATGACAACTGGTGAGATAGAAAATATTATTTTGACTTTAGATGACAATGTTTGATCGGTTTGAGGTTTCGTTATTTAATTATTATGTTATTGCTTTTTATCAGATTTGTTTTATTATTACAATAATATTGGGTGTGAAAGGAAATTAGATGAATTGAGTTGGAAAAGATAGAAACAAAGTCACGGTGCCTTGAGGGAATAATATAATGGTTTGGATATGAATTGAAGGTGGGCTAATTAAGGGATTAATAATGGTTGACTTTTGGTTTTGTGGAGTGCAGCGAGTGTATCAGTGTCCTCGACTCGCCCTCAGCTCTAGCTATTCTCCAGCATATCAGGTTCCAGGGTGAGCTATTCATTCCACCTCGTGTTGTATTCTCTTGGTCTTGGCATGATGTCCTTAGTTTTCGGACATATTCATATATTTTGGTGTCTTTAATACTCTTAGACTTAGTATTTGAAGATTAGATGTCATTGATGTGATGACTTTCAGATTTTGGGGATAATAAGTGTTAGACTTTAGAGGTTTATTTGATTGGTACTTTAATAAGTTTTGACCTTCCGCCTTATTGTTGTTATTTGTAGTTGAATTATTGATATATGTTGGGGTTTGGATTCTTTGTTTCGCCCACTTAGGAGGTTAGGAGGTTAAGTGTGGGTGCCACTCACGACTCATTTTGGATCGTGACAATGGTGAATTTGATTATGGGTGGTGGAGAAGTGAATTTGATGATAATAGCAACTAGGGGTGTACATAGGTCGGTTTGGTTTGGTTTTTCATTAAAAAAAACCTAAACCAATTATGTCGGTTTATTGAATCTAAAAACCAATCAAACCATGCAAAGTCGGTTTTTTCGGTTTCGGTTTTAGTTGGTTTTTTCGGTTTTTTACAACTATACGGTGTTTGAAAAAGAGATCAAATATATTTTCACTTACCTATGTGATAAGCTAAACTTAAGAAATGTTAAATGAATAGAAATTTTCGTAAAAATGGTAAAATTCACATGAGTACAATTTATTTATTTTGAAATATCAACGTTTATTATGTTAAATTAATAAGATCAAAGGATACAGTCAAACTGAATACAAAACGAAATATTTAAAAAGTAAATTGTTAACTTCGAATTTGAAAAACTATAACAATATAATTGTAACTTCGGATCTTAATACAAAATAAAATATTGTATAAATTTTAAGAATAACATAGTTTTAATATGAAAGTACAATCTATCCCTATTTAGTTTGTAATTACATTAATCCCTGAAAGAGTAAAACAAATCGGATACATAAATATGTAGCTCGAATACATTAAAAACTAGCTCGGATACATTATAAAATAAAACGGATACATAATATGTAGCTCGGATACATTAAAAACTAGCTCGGATACATCATAAAATAATTTAGAATTAGGAGAGAAATAAGGGATTTTAGAGGTTTTTAGAAATACAAGGGAATATTAGAAATAAGGGACACATAAGACGTGTATTTCAGTAATTTTTCCTAAAATGTTTACAAATTTTACAAGCCCAAATTTGAAATAAAATATATAAACATTGAAAACTATACACTAACTAAAATATATTAACAAAGTAGATAATAAATAATATTTTATCTATAAATAAAATAAAATTATATTTATAGATAATATAAATATAAAATTATATTTATAGATAATATAAATATAAAATGAGTTATATTCAAGAATACACTTGTGAATTCGAAGAATATTATTACAAAATATTTGATAGCGGTAAGGAAATGTTACCTTATCTAGAAAAATACTATCAAAAATTACCAGGCTTCTGGGCAAAATACTTCAGAGAAGAGTATGAAAAAGAAGAAAAGAAGGGTGATACTCTAGGACAAAGGATAAGTTTCCTAAAAAATCGACTTGGTCAACTTTGTATGTCTCATAACATCCAAAGAAAGGCAAAAAGAATAAATACCCAAATCTATTGTAAAGATACAATAGATTTGGATCGCGTTTATACTAAACAGAAATCTATTCCTAAATAAACTAGAAGATTATAATATTGGAAAAAATGGCATAGAAATCATTTACAAAGGAGAAACGTGTTTCATTCTAAAAGAATAGAAATGCCAAAAGAAACTTTGTTCAAAGTATCTGTTTTCATAGAAATAACCTTCTATGATACAAAATTAACAACCTGTTGTCAAATAGACAATGGATCTGAAGCAAGTCTAGCGAAATCTTTTTTAATAAAAGATTGGGACTTAAATAAAAATAATATCTCTATGATAGGAATCACAGGAGATAAAGAAAAACTTTCAAAATCAAAAGAAAAGGTAGAAATAATTTTAGGATCAAAAATTGTTTCTATAAATAAATTATTTGCCTATGACAAACTCGAAACAGATTTGTTACTAGGAAATGATTTTCTACAACAATTTCAAGATTATCATCAATCTATTTATATGATAAGCTTAAAAACTCCTTGTGGACATTTTATAAAAGTTTGGTTTGGGTTCGGTTTGACTTTTTTTCTTTTAATACCAAACCAAATCAAGAGTGGTCGGTTTTTTTTTTCAACCGCCAAGCCAACCAAACCAAACCACAAATCATTTTTTTTTCGGTTTGATTTGGTTCATCGGTTCGGTTTGACTTTACGGTTTGACTTGTACACCCCTAATAGCAACTATGATAGTGATTTAATGGTGGGTTTGATGGTGTATAGGGAAAAAGAAGAAATTGGGTGACATGAATTTATTTTTAAAAAAAATCTGACGTAATTTTATTGATGTGGTGATGACGTGGCGCGAGTGTGAAACACTTTTTGATCATGTGACTGGTTGTATGTGCGTCAAGGTTGAAATAAATTCACTTTTAAGTAATTCAGGTGTGTAATAGATCGTCAACTGACTTTTTGTGATAAGTTTAGAGGGAAAATCTATGCCTTTTCCCTTATTATGTATTCAAAATCAATGTTTTTAATACATATCATGCTCACCTCTATGCACGTAAAGCATCTTCCTAGTAATCATCGTAATTATTGACATAGTGAATTTACTCCTATTAATTATCAATTATTGCTCTCGAAAACATGTCCCATCTTTTCTTTTCGAATCCATAAAGAAGAAGAGAAAAATAATATTTTTTTTATTTGGTCATCCTGACTTATTTTTATATATATTTAATCGATTATTCTTTATTCAATATTTAAAAAATAAATTTTGTTGTCTATATTAATTATTCTCTTTATTTTTATTTATATATCATCCTTATTAAAAATAAAGGTAGTAATCATCATAATTAGTATCCATTATTGCTCTCGAAAACAAGTCCTATTGGTGAAATAACTTTTGTTTTCAAATCCATAAAGAAGAAAAGCAAAAATAAATTTTTTATTCTGTCATCCTGACGTATTTTTATATATATTTAATCGAATATTCTCCGTGCATTTTAATTTATTCAATATTTAAATAATAAATTTTATAGTCTATATTAATTATTTTCTTAGTTTTTATTTATATATCATCCTTATTAAAAATAGATGTTTCTTAAATAAAAGAGTCGTTTTTATTCCCAAATAATAGAATAGGGCAATGACCTAGCTTTTAAGTTATACTACTATTAACTACCATATAATATGGGTCAATCCCAATAAAAACTGAAAAACATGATCCATTTTATTAGCTCTAAATAGATATTCTTTTTATTTTGATTTTTAGAAAGTCAAATATACACCCTCCGTTCACGTTTATTTGTCATTTATTCCTAAAATAAATTTTCATTTTACTTGTGATCACTTTTGATTTATTAAGAAAATACAATTATTTTTTCCATGTTTTACCTTCACAATTAAATATTTATTCTCCTAATCATTTTCCAAAACTTAACACTAAACATCATCTTATAGGAATATTTTGATAAAATACCTATATCAATAATTATTTTCTTAAAGGATGTATCAAGTCAAACAGTGACAAGTAAAAATGAACGAAGGAAGTATTTTTATTAACTTATACTTAATATAAATATTTTGGAAAAAGTGTATCATTTATTAATTTTTTATTAAATAAAATTTTCTTTACTTAAATAAATTTCAAATTAAACAATATCATTTATGTCTTTTTAGTTATGTAAAATATTATTTATTTCAAAACAAAATAAAAATATAAAGTAACACTTATTTTAAAATAAAGAAAAAGTATATAAAAGTATAATTGCTTAGAAGTTGGGATAGATATAGACGAAGAGCCGTTTCTGTAACGACGACTATATATAATATATTATAAATATAGAGAGAAAAGCACATGCATAAAATAAGGAAATCATGTATAAAATATATAACACAACTTTGTATCTTTTGGTTTTCTTTATTTTTAATAAGATTGTTTTTACTAATATATTTTCTTTTCAAACTGATTTTGATATGCCTTATTTGAGTCGAACGTGTATTATTTATTTTTAAAAAATAAGTAAGGGGAAATGGAGAAGAACATTACTGGGTGAAAAATTAAACACTTACAAAAAGTTTAGATAATCAAATAACTTAGCTGTTAAAATTTTCAATTGTTAATATTTATATTCTAAAAATATATAAAAGATTTATGGTGTAGACATATTGTCCAACTATAAAAGGACATAGAGATTCATGTTAATAATGAACCACACACACTTCATCTTTGTAAGATATCATTTGAGAGAGAAGAGAAAATGAGTCTTGAAGGAAAGTTGGTTTCAGAGATAAATATTAAGTGTGATGGAGATGTATTTCATGAGATTTTTAGGCATAGACCACATCATATTTCAACTATGAGTTCTGATAAAGTACAAAATGTGGATATTCATGAAGGTGAATGGGGTATTGTTGGCTCTGTCATTTTTTGGAATTTTACCGATAGTAAGTTGCCACCACTTTTTATACCACTTCAACTTCTTGTTATATTGATCAGAAGTGAATTTCGATTTTAAAGTTTATAAAATTCTATAATGATCTTGAGTTAACATAAAATAATACTTTAACTTACTTGAGTAGTCCATAATAATATATTTACAAATATTATTTTAATTTTTTGATACCGAAGACAACTAATTTTTGAGGTTGAATTAGATTGAAGATCCATTTAACAAATAAAAATAAGGATAATTTGAATCTACATGTACCTTAAGGGCTAGATCTGCCCTTATATTGTCAGCCTCCATTTTATGGTACTCTCTATGGTCTAAAATAAGTATTGTTTAAGGTTTTTAACACATTTATTAAAAAAAATTTTATTGGTGATCATAAATAAAGATACATGCATAAATGCAGAATTTAAATATATAAATTCAAACGATAAGCCTCTTAGCCTTAAATGTATTATATTTTATAAGTTATGATTTCAGATCTATTATATTTATTACAAATTTAGTAAATATTTATGCGTAGACTTAAGATCTACATTGAAAGTACTCGATTCAAATGAATTTGATATCACAATGCTGCATCCCCGTATGATCATTTGAATAAATTAACCTTATTGTTCCTCAAATTACTCTTTATCTCTCCTCGGACTTTTAGATCATTTATTGGTGAAAGGGTTGAGTTGACAAAAATAATTACTTCCGCTATTTTATTATGTTTGTGTGTTTTGATTTGATTCAGAGTTTAAAAAGTAAAGGAATCTTTTGAATCTCATGATGTTAAACTAAAGATACATAGAATATTATTCAAATGTCTTTTAATCTTGTGGTCTTAAATATGTCATGTGTAAAATTGAAATTAAAGAGATAAAAAAAAACATCAGTTTAAAAACAAACAAAAAAAAAGAAAGGAACACAAATAAATTAAAATGGAGGAAATAATGTTATCTTGATTTAGAGACACTTAATTTGAACCATATTGATTTAGGTAAAACAATCCTTAATTCAATTAAGTGGAGTATTTTTTTGCACATTAAAGCTTTGTGTAAATATAATATGCATAGATGAATTCAAAAGATATTGGACTATTACAAATCATTTTACATCACTGTTCATGTTGAAACAAAGGGTGAAGACAATTTAGTTACTTGGATTTTGGAATATGAGAAGTTGAATCAAGATATTCCAGATCCTCACACACTAATGAAATTTTGTCTTGATGTTACAAAAGATATTGAGACTCATCACCTAACAGGAAAGTTAGTTTCTGAGATAAATATCAAGTCTGATGGGGATGTGTTTCATGAAATATTTAGGTATAGACCACATCATATTTCTAGTATGTCACCTGGTTATATACAAAATGTCGATATTCATGAAGGTGAATGGGGCACTGTTGGTTCTGTTATCGTTTGGAACTTCACCCATGGTAAGCCTACGTCCTACTCTTTCTTGTTATTCGATGTTTGATACTTACTGACTCAATTAATCTAGATTTGTGATGTGTATGATCCATTAAAGAGAAAATGTTTCCTACTTTTCATGAAGTTTTGAGTTCGAAATCCATGATATGCGTTTTAAGTTTACTATTATTTTTTTTGTTCCAATTTATGTGAAATTGTTTGACTGGATTTAAAATTTAGAGAAAGAATAAGAAAAAGATAGCTTTTTAAAGTTGTGATTTACAATAAGTTTTAGACATTTGTGTGGATATAAAATATCTCAATAATGATAAACTAAAAAATTGAAAGTTAATTTGTTTCTAAAAATATACTATTCAATAATTGAGATAGGGAAGTAAACATTTTATATCTAAGTTAATTGTTCCAATACTCAGTACATGTTTTGTCTTGATTAAACAATTGGTCATAATCTAATCTTATGACAGCTTAGACAAGTCAAAATTTATAATCACATATAAAAATAAATAATTTTTTGGATCTGTTGGTTAGATATAGACCTGATAATTAAATGAAGGGTAAAACTTTGGTTGTTTTGATTAGGTAACTAAATAATAAACAAATAAAAAGTGATTTTGAATTGGACATAATGGATTGCCACAGTTGGTTAGATATAGACATGATAATTAAATGGACAAAACTTTGGTTAGTTTGATTAGGCAATTAAAATAATAAACAAATAAAAAGATATTTTAAGACATTAAATTGTGACACATTATTTAGCTTAAATTGACATGTTCGATCCATTAACCTAATCAAATTTTCAATGAGTTATGCTTCTATGCGTTTATTAATTCGAATCATTTTAACTCGTTCAGATTCAATTCAATACTCTCATTTGATAAAAGGAATTAGTAGTATTAATTTCTTACTATATATCTTTGTTTGTAGATGGGAAAGAGAAGGTGGCAAAGAATGTAATTGAAGAAATAGATGAAGAAAAGAAGTTGGTTAAATTCAAAGTGACTGGAGGAGATATATTGGAGGATTATAATTCATTTTACGTCACTGTTCATGTTGACACAAAAGGTGAAGATAATATAGTTACTTGGATCTTGGAATATGAAAAGAAGAATTGTAATGTGCCCGATCCACACACTTTAATGGAATTATGCCTCAATATCACAAAAGATATTGAGACTCACCATCTCAATTGATAAATACCTACGACTATATATATATTGCTCGGATTCTTTGAAAATATATTGACAGATGCTATACTGTCACATGTGTGCCAATATTTCTAAAGAGTACGAACAATATATGGTGAATGCTTGGAACTGAGATGTTGTCTCAAAGTCTTGTAATAACGTACGTTTGTTGTTATTAATGAGTGTGCTTTGAAATGTCTACTGCATGTAACAAGAATAAAAATAAAATAAGGCAAAATGAGTGAATATGTAATTTCTAATATATTTTGTTGTGGATTGAAAAAACAGTTTGTATTTTTAATATTGCTCTTGTATTTTTTTTCTATATTTGTTTTTGATATATTTTGGTCGAGTTGATGGCTTAATAGAAATAATCTCTATTTTCACAAGGTTAGGTAAGAGTAAGATCTATGAATACACGAGTCCGCCGGAGCCTAAAGGGCAAAAAAAATGGTCAAAAATTCCAAAAGGGCACATCACTTTTTATTTTAGCCAAAAGGGCAAAATCGCTGCGTCAGCAGCGATTTTCCTCTGACAAAATGACAAAATCGCTGCCCTGGCAGCGATTTAGTCTAAAAATTTTTTTTATTCTTTTTTATTAAAAATCGCTGCCACAGCAGCCATTTTGTAAAAAAAATTTTAAAAAAATTATTTTTTATTAAAAATCGCTGCTGTGGCAGCGATTTTGTAAAAAAAAAATTAAAAATTGCTGCTTTTTTTTCTTTAAAAAAACTAAAATAGCACATCAAAAAAAAATTTAACCAAAAGGGCTTCTGACAAAATAAAATCGCTGCATATTTTTCTCAAAAAAAAAACACTTTTTTTTTCTTTAAAATCGCTGCTATAGCAGCGAATTTGGTTAAGAATTTAAAAAAAAAAAAAAAAAAATTTTTTATTAAAAATCGCTGCCACAGCAGCGATTTTTAATAAAAAATTTTTTTTTTTTTTTTTTTAAATTCTTAACCAAATTCGCTGCTATAGCAGCGCTTTTAAAGAAAAAAAAGTTGTTTTTTTTTTGAGAAAATATGCAGCGATTTTTATTTTGTCAGAAGCCCTTTTGGTTAAATTTTTTTTTGATGTGCTATTTTAGTTTTTTTAAAGAAAAAAAAGCAGCGATTTTAATTTTAATTTTTTTAGACGAAATCGCTGCTAGGGCAGCGATTTCGTCAGAGGAAATAAAAAGTGATGTGCCCTTTTGGAATTTTTGACCATTTTTTTTGCCCTTTAGGCTCCGGACTCATGAATACACCATATCTCTTGACTTTACTTACGAGATTACATTAGATATATTATTCATATTAGAACTTCAATTAATCTGAATTCATATCACGTACGATCCATTAATAAAAAGAAAATGCTTCTTTTAATTAGGACTTTCCTTATTTACTTATCTAGGTCTTAATATTTACTCATCTCTGATTAAAAAATGGAAGAGTCTTATCTACTAGCCACATGCCCACATCCCTCGAATGAATGATCTTTTTCTAAAAGAAATGAAAGATTGGTTTTTGGGAATTGTGTTCTTTACTTTCTTTCTAGATAGTAAATATTTCTCAACCATATTTTATATACAATGTCAGTTATATACATTATATAGCAACATGTCACATGGACTTGAAGAGAAAATTCCAGTGGAGTAAGGCACTATTCTTTTATCACATTATATTTTATTGGGTAAAAGGATAAATATACCTCAAACTATCGTAAATGGTATGCATATACCCTCCGTCATACTTTTGGGACATAGCTGCCCCTACCGTCCAAACACTGGAGCATATATGCCCTTCACTCTAACGGAAGACTAATTAGGGACACATGGCGCAATCTTATCCGTCAATCCGATATTTAATAAATGTTGGATCGATGGATAAGATTATGACACGTGTATGTCCGTTAGTATAAAGGGTATATATGCTCTAGTTTTTGGACGGCAAGGGCACCAATGTCCAAAAAATATAACGGAGGGTATCTGCATACCATTTATGATAGTTTGGGGGTATAATTGTACTTTTTCCCTATTTTATATATGTGATATACTTACATATATAGTAGGAGCCATTTTATATTAATGGACCTTAAATAAGGGTGAACAGAAAAATTAAAATACAGAGATATTTTTTTAAAAAATTATTAAAAAATTCATGTATCGTTTCTTAAATATCCATTATCATAAAATATTTCATGTAATAATTTTTAAAAGATCTTTGTGTTCAAGTAAAGCTCGCTCTTTATATCGTAATGTCTATTTCGTAGTCTTAGCCTTTCGTAAATAGAGTTAGAATAAAACGTCTATAATAGAAGCGTATTATATTTATTCTTGATTTAATACACTTCTATTGAACGTCTAACTGAGTATTATTATTTTCTCTTCAACCATAATACTATTAGTTGATTAGATCATCAAACACAATGATTTTAATTTATTACAACAAAAATAGTAAAAATAGTATGGCCCTTATATTACATAAAGCATGTGGCAAATACCAACTAGTGTTTGCACATTATTTATCAATTAGAATGACCTAATACAAGGCTCATCCCTTAACACTTATACATATTATAAAATTTACTAATAAAATTATAGCTTATGCAATATAAAATGCATCCTCAGATAACATTTTAGGAATCACCTCAATTTGCAATTTTACTTCACCACATTCCACATTTTGCAAAATAAGTGTCATGTCTTGGATCAATTTGCCATTTTCCCATATGATGCAACTTTCCTTAGCTAAGCAATTGTCTCTATTTTGCTGAACTTTGTCAACTTTGACACCATTTGGAAGGTCTTGATGATAGCTCATTTCCAATGCTTTAAGATATGGTTTGATGTCTATCTTTGCTTCACCTATTTTGTCATCTTTACTAAATGTATCTTTGTCATACACAGTCTGAAAATATCATAATCATCAAATTAAAATTATATATATCGAGAAATATTAGGAGCTCAGTTGGTTGACTAATTGAATTTTTACCTTCACTACCACTACAACAAAAAAGACATTGCCATAATACATAAACATGAGGACTTGGCATCAGATGACAACTACGACCTTCAACTTTGGATGTGCACAAGTAGACACTTAAACTTTTATAAAATTGAACAAATGGGCATATCCGTCCTACATGACACCCTACATGGAGATTTTGTGTCCTACGTGGCGTCCTACGTGTATTATGCCATGTAGGACACGTGAGTCTACTTGTTCAATTTTATACAAGTTTAAGTGCCTACTTCTGCACACTCAAAGTATGAAGGCATAGTTATCCGCTGAAGCCAAGTTAAGGATCATGTTTATGTATTACGCCAAAGACATTAGTGATAATAAGATTTTCTTGTGTATTAACGTAAAACTAATTTAGCTACAATTGAGCTTAATTAGCTTCATTGAAGAATAATATGAAGAGAGAATACTCACCAAAACAATTTGAACATTTGGATTTTTCAGTGCAAGGGTTAATTCATCATCCCAGACAGGGTTGCAGTTGTTCTTCTTACAACTAGTCTTCACTTTCTGTAAGACAATTGCAGAACATCAGTACAAATAACAGATATTATTTAAACTTTGACATAATGAAACACAAAAAGACATATTCATGATTTTAATTAAGTTTATGAATTCTGGATTTACAACAGGATAGTTTTCGAGATATATTATTTATGTACTTCATTCCATTTTTTTGTGAATATACTGGACAAATGTGTCTGTGCTAGCACGGGTCTAATAGTTGTTATTTTTTTTGTCTTAATTTATGTGATATAGATAGAATTTAGAGAGTCAATTAAATTTTAATATGATTTTTAAATATTCTAAGTTGTTAATTATTGTGATTTATAGTACTTTTTACGTAATTTTTAAATAATAAATGTTATTCCCCTTGTCCTAATATATATATATATATATATGACATATAAAATTTCAAGAGTAAATCAAATATTGTTAATTATTGAAATTTACAATACTTTTTACATAGTTCCCAAATTAAATAATACATGTTACTTCTTTTGTCCTATTTTATGTTGACACCGATAGATTAATTTCAAAAATTAGTTGAACTTTTTATATTTTTTTAAAAATATTTTAAGTTGTCAATTATCATAATTTATAATTTTTTTACGTAATTTTTAAATAAAAAAAATAAAAAAAAGATAACCAAATTAAAACGAAAAAATCACCAATAAAATTACACAAATACCCTCAAAGTGTTCAAGCAAGCATATTAACCAATTGCCTACTTGAGCACTTAAAATTTCCTCTTATAATATAGTAAAATTTGATAAGACAATGGAATATTACAAAAAAAATGAATTAACTTATGGTAATAAATATTTGTATACTTATAAATTATTTTTTCAAGGTAAGATGAGTGTTTCTGATTACTAAATATAAAAAAATATTACATTTGAACGGACTAAAAAGAAAGAGTAACCAATGAATTAGACAAAGAGAGTATATAAGTAAACTTTTTAGAAACTTTTTTAACCATAAAAACACATAGACTAAGACCAAATTGTTGGTTTTGTAATAAATGCTAAGATATAAAAGCGAGATTTTTTAAAAAGTTAAAGTCATGGATGATCAAGAGTCGCAATTAATGAATGTAATATTTTTCATATAAAAGTATAGGAGCTCGATCAACTATATTATCGAAAAATCTAACCTAGATATGCCTCTAAAAGACGATATATTTGACCATTCAATATGATCAAACTCATGAAATATGCAATATTGTTAATTATTGAAATTTACAATACTTTTTACATAGTTCCCAAATTAAATAATACATGTTACTTCTTTTGTCCTATTTTATGTTGACACCGATAGATTAATTTCAAAAATTAGTTGAACTTTTTATATTTTTTTAAAAATATTTTAAGTTGTCAATTATCATAATTTATAATTTTTTTACGTAATTTTTAAATAAAAAAAATAAAAAAAAGATAACCAAATTAAAACGAAAAAATCACCAATAAAATTACACAAATACCCTCAAAGTGTTCAAGCAAGCATATTAACCAATTGCCTACTTGAGCACTTAAAATTTCCTCTTATAATATAGTAAAATTTGATAAGACAATGGAATATTACAAAAAAAATGAATTAACTTATGGTAATAAATATTTGTATACTTATAAATTATTTTTTCAAGGTAAGATGAGTGTTTCTGATTACTAAATATAAAAAAATATTACATTTGAACGGACTAAAAAGAAAGAGTAACCAATGAATTAGACAAAGAGAGTATATAAGTAAACTTTTTAGAAACTTTTTTAACCATAAAAACACATAGACTAAGA